TATAAACAAGAGAGAGATAAAATTAAAAAAAAAAAAAAGTAAAATTTGACTTTTTTTAACTAAATTTTTTGTTAATAAAACTAATTATAATTTGTTTTTAATATATGCTATTGTGATACCTGAGAGTCAGACATGATTTCAGTTGACATTTTTGTTTGATAATCTTTTTTGACCATTTTTGAAAATTTTTGACACATAATTCAATATTTTTTTTCACCCTTCCTATTTATGCTACGATACTGAGACTTGGACCAAATGAAACCCTTTTCATATACAACTTGTCAAAAAAGTTTGATTGAAATTGAACGAGTTTTCATTTTTTGCATATTTTGTGAATAACGCCCCCTTAAGTTAGAAAGTGTGGCATAATCTCCTCGCACAACGTTTTTCATATGGTCCTCAGGTGATAGTTTTCTAACTAGAACCACCCCTAGATCTTTCTTTATCAGAATTCTTTAAAGATTTCTCACAGAATTTATAGGTTGTGTGGGGTTTATGTTCTCCTATTCCACATTCCATAACATGGCATTTATTCACAATAAATTCCATTTGCCAAGTGGTGCTCCATATAATTATTTTGGCCAGGTCTTGAAGGTCATCACAATCATCTAAGTTTCTTATCTTTCCTATTATCTTAGCATCATCAGCAAACATGTTCATATAATTCTGTATACCAACTGGTAGATCATTTATGTAGACAATGAACATCACCGGTGCAAGAACTGAACCCTGTGGTACTCCAATTGTGACATTTCTCAAGTCCGATACATTGCCTCTGATTACTGCCCTCATTTTTCTATCGGTCAGAAAAATTTTCATCCATGTTAGAAGCGTACCTGTCACCCCTCCAATATTTTCCAGTTTCCAGAACAACCTCTTATGTGGAACTCTGTTGAAAGCCTTTTTTAGGTCCAGATAGATGTAGTCAATTTCTTTCCTGTAAAATCTCTGTGGCTCGATAATAGAAACTGAGTAAATCCAATACACAGAATCTTCCAGATCGAAAACCATAATGTGTGTGATATCATATCATTTCTCTCCAGGTGTTTTATCCATTTAGTTTATAATTTTTTCCAATATTTTCACTATTACACTTGCCAATGATACAGGTCTATAATTGAGGGGGGGTCTTCCCTGCTGCCATTTTTGTAAAATGAAACTATGTTGGCCTTTTTCCACACATCTGCTACGACTCCTGTACACAGGGATGCCTGAAAGTTCAGGTGAAGTGGAATGCTGAGCTCAGATGCACATTCTCTCAAAACCCATGGTGAAACTCCATCTGAGCCAACTGCTTTGTTCTTACTGAGCTCCTTTAGCATATTTTCCACTTCATCTCTTGACACCTCTATACGCTCTATGTTGTTTTCTGGAATTCTTATTGTCTGGTTCTCTTTAGATTTCATTATGTACAAACACACTTTGGAACTTTTCATTTAATGTTTCACACATTTCCTTTTCACTTCCCGTGAATCTGTTTCACATTTTCAACCTCTGGATATTATCCTTTACCGGCAATTTGTTATTTATGAATTTATAGAATAGGCCCGGTTCTGTTTTACATTTATCCGCTATACCTTTTTCAAAATTTCTTTCTGCCTCTCTCCTTACTGTTGTATAGTTTCTCGCATCTTTGTATCGCTGGTATGTTTGGGGGTTTGGCCTCTTCCTATATTGATTCCATTTTTGTGTCTTTTTGGTCTCTGGCCCCTCACAATTTCTGTTGAACCAATCCTGTTTTCTGGTGCCGCATCTATGTTTTGGTATGAATGTTTATGTGCCTTCATTGTATATTTTGCAAAATTTGGCATACATATCATTTACTTCCCTGCCTAGCAACAAGTCTTTCCAATTACACATTAAAAAAATTTCAAAGTTCTCCATAGTGACCTCTTTAAATCGAGTTTATCAACTGTTTCAATGTCCCCATTTTCTTCTAGATAATATTTTAAAGCATATTTAATGTCTAACAGGACATGATCACTCTTTCCCAAGGAAGGAAGGTACTGGATGTCAAATATCTCTTCTTTCCTGGTGAATACTAGATCCAGTACTAACAGTACATCTCCTTCCCTCATTCTTGTGGCCAGCTTGATGTGTTGATACATGAATGTCTCCAGAATGAGGTTCACAAATCTGCATGTCCAAAAGTCCTCCGTTTTTGCTTCATAGGCCTCCCAGTCTATTGCTTTAAAGTTGAAGTCCCCCAATATCAACAGTCGTGATTTATCTATCTGCTTGTACAATAATCTGTCATGACCATTATGAGGCCCTCTCGTTTGTCATCCAGTTCTTCCTTTGTTCATGTGTTGCTTCCTGGTGGGCTGTAGGCATTTAAAATTATCAGCTTATCCTGATTCCAGAGTTGCAATGCCATTATGTCAATATCTCGAGGGTTTTCAAATATTAACTCTCTTACCTTCAGGTGTTCTTTCACCAGTACAGCCACCACTCCTCCCTTCATAGTTTTCCTGTCACATCTCCAAACTGAATAGCCCCTTGGGAATATGACTTCATTTAATATATTTTCTTCAAGTTTCGTCCCTGATAATGCAACAATATCTGGGACCATGAGCTGAATTATATCTTGCAACTCCAAAGTTTTTGACCTCACTCCATCTATATTGGTATACAGTATACAATTTTCAGGAACATGTTCCCTTTCCCTTTGCTCTTTACTCCCCCTTCCACTAATGATTTTGTTGCCTTGTTTTTATGTACCATTTCACAAGCTTTCCAGTCCCTGACACTTTGTAGAAAAAAGAATCTGTCTTCTTCATTTCTATCCCCATTTAGACGTTTTGCTTCAATTAGGTTCATTTTCAGCTTTTCTCTGTCTTCCTTTGAGAGGTCTTGTCTTACTGACCAAAGTTTGCCAACCTCATCACTCTGCAATTTCCTGGCATTTCTAACCACTTCCAAACACTGTAATTGTTGTGGCCCAGTTCCTGGACCCTTTATGTTACACTGAAACCTTTCTCCACTCGCCTACAAGATGGGACAACCTGGTACTCACCTAATTGTGCTTGCAGGCGTTGAGCTTTGGCTCTTTGGTCCCGCCTCTCAACCGTCAATCAACGGGTGTACAGATTCCTGAGCCTACTGGGCTCTATCATATAATCTACATTTGAAACTGTGTATGGAGTCGGCCTCCACCACATCACTTCCTAGTGCATTCCATTTATTAACTACTCTGACACTGAAAAAATTCTTTCTAATGTCTCTGTGGCTCATCTGGGTACTAAGTTTCCACGCGTGTCCCCTTGTTCGTGTCCCACCCGTGCTGAAGAGTTTGTCTTTGTCCACGCTGTCAATTCCCCTGAGAATTTTGTAGGTGGTTATCATGTCTCCCCTTACACTTCTGTTTTCCAGGGATGTGAGGTTCAGCTTCTTTAACCTTTCCTCGTAGCTCATTCCTCTCAGTTCCGGGACGAGCCTGGTGGCATACCGCTGAATCTTCTCTAGCTTTGTCTTGTGTTTAACTAGGTATGGACTCCAGGCTGGAGCTGCATACTTCAGAATTGGTCTTACATAAGTGGTATACAGGGTTCTGAAAGATTTCTACCCCCTGGTGTATAGGTTCCTAAGCTTACTAAGCTCTGTCACATACATACAGGCTGCCTGTCCCAAACAAAATGAATTATGGTGTGCACAAGATGCACAATAGCATAGCTTTACTGCAACTTTGGGTTTAAGGCCTATTACTTATGTCAAACTTGACAGGCCTTAAGTGGGTGATTTTACCTACTTTGTTGGTATTGTTCACTATGCTGACATAGTAACAATACTGTTTAATAAATAATTTCTATACAGGATTTTACTAGATACGAGAGTAGGAGGTTGGGCAATAATCACATGCTGTCAGAGTAGGCTTGCCACACCTCACTATTTCCCACCACACGTCCCGCCCTGACACACACGTCCCGCCCTGACACCCACGTCCCGCCCTGACACCCACGTCCCGCCCTGACACCCACGTCCCGCCCTGACACCCACGTCCCGCCCTGACACCCACGTCCCGCCCTGACACCCACGTCCCGCCCTGACACCCACGTCCCGCCCTGACACCCACGTCCCGCCCTGACACCCACGTCCCGCCCTGACACACACGTCCCGCCCTGACACACACGTCCCGCCCTGACACCCACGTCCCGCCCTGACACCCACGTCCCGCCCTGACACCCACGTCCCGCCCTGACACCCACGTCCCGCCCTGACACCCACGTCCCGCCCTGACACCCACGTCCCGCCCTGACACCCACGTCCCGCCCTCACACCCACGTCCCGCCCTGACACCCACGTCCCGCCCTGACACCCACGTCCCGCCCTGACACCCACGTCCCGCCCTGACACCCACGTCCCGCCCTGACACGTCAAAATTTGCATGCAGAATGAATTTTAATACTTCTCCAAAATTTCAGGGTTTCAGCTTCCATCACTTAAAAAATTGCATTTAATTTTACTTCACTGTGTCAGGGGACAGGAAGCCAGAGTGTATTTAAACACGTTAGGCTTATATCGAGCCCCCCCCCCTCTCCCCCTCCAAAGGTGGAATTACTGACCCCGTCCAGAGTGTAGCTGACTAACACAAGCTGACTAACTCTAGAGAACGTACATACTGCTGGGTGAAGAGGTGCATTAGGTGAAAGGAAATGAGCCCAACCATTTCTGTCCCGTTCGGGATTCGAATCCGAATTCTCGAATGGTGGTAGAGAACGAACCCGACTGTACTACCACGACCCGTAATATATTACATATATAACTATTTTGAATTATTATATAAACACCAAAGGTGTTGTGTGTGTTGGGCGGAGACGTGATAGTGAGTGTTAGTGTCGTCACGTGTGAGTGTTGAGACATGTTAAGGGTGTAGGAGAGAGGCCCCGCAGACAAGGGCCCCCAAGAGTACAAGATGGCGGGCGGCCTCACTGACACTTGGGCCCTCCACCTGTGTGTGTGTCTCCCTCGCCCTCACCCTCTCCCTCACACACCACACTAACCTTCCACTACTCCACACACAAAGTTCTTCCGTTCATTAAGATTGTTAATATTATCGACGACGACGACGTTGCTGTTGGCGTCGGCCATTTTCCTGGCTTGTGGCGGCGGCGTCGGGCTCACTCCGGGGCTCACCACCTCCACCAACACCTTCAACAACCCGCAGATAACTTCGCTCGCTGCTAAAAATGTCGACTGCAATTTAACAAGCGTGACGCGCGCGATAACATGACAGAGGTACGCAAAGTTATAAAATGGAGGACGAATTGTTAAGAGCGTAGTTGTGTGTGATGAAAACTGGCTGAGCTGGAGCTGAAGCCCGACGGGACGGTACTGGTGACGACACGCTTCTCCCACCCTCTCACTGGTTCTCCGCTCAATGACGACACACTTCGTCCTTCTTCCCATTGGTCCAAGTTCCAATGACGACATATCTCCTCGGCCTTCTGATTGGTTGAGTACCCAGTGACGACACCCTTGGACCCTCCTATTTGTTGCCTACTCAGTGATGTCATATCTCTCCGACCCTCGCATTTGCTGCCACCCCAGTGACGGCTCTCTATTGGTCGAGCACTCTCTGTTGACATCTTTTCAACCTGCCACTGCTGTCCTCAGTTACGTGACTCCTGCCACCAATCAATATTGCATCTTTATCTAAGACAGTAAAACTACATCCTTATGTTAACCCCAATGTTGATATGGCGATGTGCACTAAATGTTGTAACTAGCGCATTAAGATTAAATTGCTTAGCTAAATGAATTTTGGGGTTCAATCCCCGAGCCCATTCTGTGCCTTCATAACCCTTTATTTTCCACTACTGTCCATACGATGGGTATAGGGTGCATAATAAGTTAACTACATTAACTTATGTTCTTATTGGACGGATTCTTAAGGCTTTTATAGAGGGAAGCTCCATCCCAGGAAAATGTTCTCGAATTATGGCTGCAAATTGACTCTAAACAGATCTTATTGGACAGATTGCAGAAAACCACTGTTATATATTTCTTGATGTCGTGAATACGTCACAAGTTCGTGGCTCAGAACCCATGGAACAGCTTAACCGCCGAATCCGTAAATGCTAAAACACTTAATTTTAATATCCAGCTCGAAAAATTCTTAGAACAAATAGAATAACACATTTGACAAGCCGCCGGCGTCCTGACCTCGTCGAGGCCCTCAGGTAAACTCGGGTAAATAAAGGGTAACATGAAAAAACATGGATCATTTAATCCTAACTAGTCTAATTAGACTAGTCTAATCCTAATTCTCTAATTCTAACTAATCCTAATTAGCCCCTAATTTGCCTGAGGCCCGGGGGAGGGCAACTATCTTTAGTGGCCTCGACGAGGGCAGGAAGCCGGCGACTTGTCGAAGGTCCCCTTCCCGACCCCCCCCCCCCCTTCTCTAGATGGGTTTCGAAATTCACCAGCGTTTTGGCATTTAATGATTCAGCGTGTAGGCGGTTCCACGGGTTTATAACTCTAGCTATGGGTGAAAAGGCATCTCCTATTTTCCCTCCTGCACTGTAACCTGTTGAGCTTGACACCGTTACAGCTGACCCCTTTGAGGAAGGAAATAGTCTGAGTCAATATCCTCCAAATTTTTCAGTATTTTAAAAGTATCATTCAGGTCAGTCCTGTCATGTCTAATTTGCAGTGTAGTTAGCTCTGTGGCCTCAACCGTCCCTGGTATGCGAGTCGACTTAGTTCAGGACTGATTTTAGTCGGCCGTCGTTGAATTTTCTCCAAAACAGTTATGTTTTTCTGATGATGCGATCTCCATGCTTAGATATATTAATCCAAGTGGGGACGCAGCAGAGATTTGTACAGTTATATAACTAAGTACAGTAACTTATTTTCGTTAAAGTCAGTTTCTTTTGGTTATTCCTAGGGTGTTTTTTTCCTGCAGCTCCCACTTGTACAATTCTCAGTGATTGGTGGATATTGACTCCAAGGTCCTTTTCTTCATCAACCTGCGGTAAGGAAATGTTGTTGAGTTAATAGTTGTGATGCACATTGCTAAGCCCCACATGCAAGGACTTGCATTTTTCGATATTAAGGGTCCTACCAGAGGACCCTTAACTTGATGTTTTGGAAAACAAAATACAAAATTATTTTCAAATATTTATAATTTTCAAACTACGTCCATTTTCGGTCATACGAGCAGACGGCCAAATTCGGATGTAATTTGTAAGAGGACAGGTAAGTAAGTAATTATCAAAAGAAGGCACCAAGCCGGAAGGCGATGTATGTAGCAGCATCAACTGTGCGGGATAATCAGAGGGCGCTAAATATTACTGAGAATGTCAATACGAGAACAGAAACGCATAAGGTGAACGATATCAAAAGTATCCGATCCACCGGGACGCCTGACAGCTGGGTGGAAAGCCCTTCGGATTCGTCCTCCTCGTCCAGGTCCTGAGGTTCCGGGTTCGATCCCCGGTGGAGGCGGAGACAAATGTGCAAAATGTTTCTTTCACCCTGATGCCCCTGTTACCTAGCAGTAAATAGATACCTAGGACTTAGACAGCTGCTACGGGCTGCTTCCTGGGGATGTGTAACAAAAAGGAGGCCTGGAGGCCTGGTCGAGGACCGGGCCGTGGGGACGCTAAGCCCCGAAATCCTCTCAAAATAACCTCAAGAAGATTCACCAAGAATTTTATCAAGGGACAAGTGACCGCGAGGGACGGTCGTGAAGCAAGACTCGTCCTAGAAGTCAGGACATTCAAATCAAATGTTTATTTAGGTAAGGTACGCACATACAAGAGATTTTACAAAGAGTGATGGATTTATAGATAGGGCTAGTACATACAATGCCTAAAGCCACTATTACGCCGAGCGTTTCGGGCATGAAAAACTTAAATGACTAAAGCTTAATACTAATTGAGCATAAAGAATAAAATGAAAACATGGAATGAAAACATAGCTGAAAAAGCAGCACAAATACAATTCTGTCGACAAACAGCGCTCTTTAAAAAAAACAGACATTGGTTGACAATAGAGGGGTAAGGTAGGTTACAGGGAATTTATTAGGTATAGCTTCGTTTTTATCTTAAACTGGTTGAGAGAGGTACAGTCTTTAACATGGTTGGGAAGGTCATTCCACATTCTGGGTCCCTTGATTTGTAGAGCATTTCTAGTTTGATTAAGTCGTACTCTAGGAATATCAAAACTGTATTTATTTCTGGTGTGGTGCTCATGGGTTCTGTTACAACCTTCTATGAAGCTTTTGAGGTCAGGATTGGCATTACAGTTTAGCGTTTTATATATGTATAATACACATGAGAGAATGTGCAGTGACTTAATGTCTAACATATTCAGAGATTTGAGTAGGGGTACCGAGTGATGTCTGGGGCCAGAGTTGGATATTGTCCTAATAGCAGGTTTGAGTTGAGTAATTAGAGGACGTAAATGATTTTGGGTAGTAGAACCCCAAGCACAAATACCATAGTTGAGATATGGATAGATGAGGGAGTAATAGAGAGTCACCAGGGCAGGGCGGGGTACATAATATCTGATCTTAGAAAGAATGCCAACAGTTTTTGAAACTTTTTTTGATATATTTAGAATGTGTCCCTGGAAATTCAGCTTGTGGTCAATGAGAATGCCAAGGAATTTGCCATCTAATTTGCCATCTAATTTGTTACAAATTTGGGTATTGTTTATTATGAGATTTATTTGATTAGAGGATTTATTGCCAAACAGAATATAGAAAGTTTTGTCAATGTTAAGGGTGAGTTTGTTGGCAGTTAGCCAAAGATGGACTTTATTTAGCTCAGTATTTACTGTGGCATTTAGAGCAAGGGGGTCAGGACTGTGTAACACTGTAAAAGTGTTTGGTTTAGTTGTATTTAATACATACATAGAGTACATGAGTCACAGACAGGAATTTGAGAAGGCGCCAGCTTGGTCGGCCTGAGTTTCACACCTCTAAGAGTTAATGACCCCAAGTGACCTGAGGTCAGATCATGCAGAATTTCACCTTACTTCTACTAATCTTATAATTGGAGCCTGGTAGCCTTCAAACATGCCGACGTTTAAGGAGTGGCTTGGTAGAGAGCTGGAGGCTATCTACTTGTGGGCGGAGTTAGTTACTAGGTTCCCCAATATATACTCGGAGAGCTATGGATTCGAGAGCATTAACAGAACAGCAGCCAGCAGAGGAGAGGAGACGGCCTAGCAGGGAGGCTGTCGGCTGGCAGGGCGAGACAGTCATAAGAACATAAGAACATAAGAACAAAGGTAACTGCAGAAGGCCTATTGGCCCATTCGAGGCAGCTCCTATTCTATAACCACCCAATCCCACTCATATACTTGTCCAACCCGCGCTTGAAACAATCGAGGGACCCCACCTCCACCACGTTACGCGGCAATTGGTTCCACAAATCAACAACCCTGTTACTGAACCAGTATTTACCCAAGTCTTTCCTAAATCTAAACTTATCCAATTTATACCCATTATTTCGTGTTCTGTCCTGTGTTGATACTTTTAATACCCTATTAATATCCCCCTTGTTATGTCCATTCACCCACTTGTAAACCTCTATCATGTCGCCCCTAACTCTTCGCCTTTCCAGTGAATGCAACTTAAGCTTTGTTAATCTTTCTTCATATGAAAGATTTCTAATTTGGGGAATTAACTTAGTCATCCTACGCTGGACACGTTCAAGTGAATTTATATCCATTCTATAATATGGCGACCAAAACTGAACTGCATAATCTAAATGGGGCCTAACTAGAGCAAGATATAGCTTGAGAACCTGGTTTCAACTGGTTAGAAATGTTAAAAAGAGATAAGGAAAGCAAAAAGAAACTATGAAGTTCGCATAGCAGGGCAAGCAAAGACAAATCCTAAAGGGTTTTTTCAGTTATATCGTACTAAGACTAGGGAAAGGATAGGTCCATTAAAAACTGAGACAGGTCAAATAACAGATAGTGATGAAGAGATGAGTAGTATTTTTAATAAATATTTTGTATCTGTATTTACTAAAGAGGAACTTAACTATATGCCTTCAGCCGAACAAGTCTATGTGGGTGGGGACGAGGACAGGTTGACGAGTTTAACAGTTACCAGGGAGGATGTTCTTAAACAAATAGTAAAACTCAAACCAAACAAATCCCCAGGGCCGGATGAAGTGTTTGCCAGGGTGCTTAAAGAATGCAAAGAGGAGCTTTGTGACCCACTGTCAACCATATTTAATCAATCAATAGAGTCAGGCAGAGTGCCAGAGTTTTGGAAAGTTGCTAATGTGATACCAGTTTTTAAGAAAGGAGATAGATCACTTGCGTCTAACTATCGACCAATTAGCCTAACGTCTATTGTGGGAAAGTTACTCGAATCTATAATAGCAAATAAAATTCGTCTTCATCTTGAAAAACATAAATTAATAATTGAGTCGCAACATGGTTTTATAAATGGCCGTTCATGTTTAACAAATTTGTTATCT